CGCCCTGGCAGCTACTGCCTAGTGACTGGACAGGGAATCAATTCAAAGTACAAGTATTTTGCATAACTCCTACCGTAAAGTGCTGAGGGTCTCATCATAGTTGATATCAGCAGGACTGAGAGCAGCAACCATAGCAGTTCGAGAGTTACCACCTTTACAGATAACATAGAATGATTCAAAGATATAATTAACAGGCCACATCAGTCTGTGGTTTTATTTTTAATTTTTAATGCATATCATAAGACTATATGTTATATGAAACAGGATGAGACTCCTGGCTCAGGCAACAGAATGGTCAGTTTGGCTGATTAACACCCATTCACTGGCCGGAATACAGCCCTCCCCCCACTGTGACAACTGGCTGAATTTACTCGGTTGGCTGTTGCAGCTGCCACGGTCCAGAAAGGCTCTCAATGGAGAGCATCAAACCCAAAGCCTTCCGATGACAAAGAACACATTAGAGCAAGACACTAGGCTGCCACTCTGGAACAGGAAAATGGCTAGTGTGGCCCCTCAGAGAAACCATCTGGCCAAATGCCTGCTCTAAGGTAGGAGAACTCAAAGAGATATGGTGGCTGGAAACTGCAATCTCTTATATTAGATGTGGACCTAGCTAGTTCAGTTGTCTTTAGACTAGCTCTGGCCTGCTTCTCAGAAATATCAGCTCAGAAATATTAGTGAAGTTAACGCAATGCAATTCCCCCACCCACCTACCTCATACACACATGGAAGTGAGGAAAGCAGTTTGTCTTGCAGCAATCTCAGGCCTGTCTATCTATCACTTTAGTTAGTATAGAATATAAATAGGTTATGGGGAGGGCCTTCCTCCCCTGATAGTTCCATCCCTTACTGAAATATTATTTGACCTGAAGAACGCTAAAGTATTACTAGTATGTACTAGCAGTAGCTTGAAAGAATCACTGCAATTAAATTTCAGACACTGCTTCTGTTTCCTGAAATGCTATTCATCCTTCTAGCAGATGGATACCATAAATGGCATGAAAGCGGAAGTGTTTCGAGATCCACTGTTTATAAATCTGATGAGAATCAGGGTACGTGGAGAATAAAAGAATGAGAATGGAGTACCTAGATTTTCTCGTAGGAGCCATGTAAGGACAGAGTCCCGGTAGGGAATAAAATCAGTCTTTTTCTTCTTCTTATTCTGCAAGGAGGAAAGAAGATAAAAGTGAAATAGACCAATCTGATCCTAGACATATATGTAAATTCTTGGGGCAGAATCCTCCTAGGAAATACAGAGCATAAGGCCACGTAGATGTAATTCTCTGTGGGATCTGTGGCTTGCAGTGGTGATAAGCCATAAGTTGCATCATGGAAAACAACAGGGCTCCTATGTGCACAAAGGGACAGTGAATATCTCCTTGAGCAAATTGTGGAGAAGGAACAACCATGTATGCAACTGAGAACTGCAGACATGGTAAAAAAACAAAGGGGACGCTGCCTATGGACAACATTACATGAAGCTAAGCCCTGCTCCCTTCATGCATGCCTTTTATACCCAGCAAAACAAATAACCTACAAGTAGTCTCATTAATTATGAGCTCTTCCTTTCAACATTTTGTAATGTTGTAAATAATTCTAGATAATGGTTATTGATAAGGACCATTCATTTATTAAGCCAGAAAAAGATTTTACAATGGAGGAAAGACTTAAATTCCTTACAACTCCAATACATAATTATATTTTCTTCTTCTACAAATTGTTTCAAACCATTAATATTGTTCAGAATTGAGCAACTGTGGTCAACAGTGGAGAATTACTATCAAGTAACCATAGGTTAACTCAGCAATTAGTGTAGCCCAGTTTCAGGATTTTTCATAAAACCTACTACAGGAAAATCTCGTAAGGAGCAAATATTACTAATAGCTCTGCCCAGTCCTACTGGTAACTCTCAAGCTGAAGTATTTACCTTGTTCGGTCCTGAATCCTGGAGGAAATAAAAACAAGATTGAGAAAGACTGGTTAAACTTCAAAATCACGTATGATCAAAATAGATTTACAGAAAAGAACAACCAGATCTGATGACTGAGAAAAGAAAACAGGACACCCTCACAGAAGTTAGAGCCATCTAGACAGATGTGATGGCAGGGGTGAGCCAGCAGAAGAACCTCAGTGCACTTTAATAATGTGAAGCCCCTTCATAATTGTAACACCAGGAGGACTCTAGAAGTAACTGGAAGAAGCTGAGCAATATGTCTGAATATCTAGGAAGTGTGCAGATTTATGGAACTAATGGGCACCTCCCTACCTCTACTGTAGACCACATCCTCAGACCATCAAGAGCTCAGGCTATCTATACACACAGGAATGTAAAAAGCTGTCATGATTTTTTAAAAATGGTACAAAAATAAAATATAGTTATTTGGCATTTTTATTTTTGAAAAAAAACAAAACAAAAATATGCTCTGTGGGTATCTATACACACAGGAATGTAAAAAGCTGGCATGATTTTTTAAAAATTGTGCTAAAGTACAAAAATAAAATATAGTTATTTGGTATTTTTATTTTTGAAAAAAAGCAAAACAAAAATATGCTCTATGGGGTTTTGTTGTGTGTTTGTGTGTGTGTGTGTGTTTCTGTCAGCCTGAAAAAATGGAATTTGGTGTTGAAAGAGAGCCTTATGGACTAACAGAAAGACAAAAAAGGTGGGTCCAAGATTAAATCAGGCCTGAATTCTCATCAGAAGCTAAAATGACTAAATGGAGGCTATTGTACTTTGGACATGTAATGTGTTTAGAAAAGTAAAAGGCAGTAGGAAAAGAGCAGGACCTAACATGAAATAGATGAATCAGTAAAGGAAGTCCATCTTTACTTTGCAAGACATGAACACTTTCAGAAGTCATTAATTCATATGACTGCCATAAAATGGAAGTGACTTGACAGTATACAGTAACAACAACTATATTGGGTTTGCCTTTACAAAATAGTTCTATTTAGTAGACCTAATCTTATGATTTCCCAACCATACGTGGAAATTTCTATTTAAATTGTAATTCAAATTTATTTTCCTGAATATATTCCCTGCCATGAGATTCTGTACCATCGCTACCTGACCAAGACAAGAGGCTGCAGAGAGTCAAAACAAGGTGAACGGACTATTTTTGTTTCACTCACTGACATACAAGGACATCAACTACACTGTGCATATGATTCACAGCTGCTCCCTGCCTTCGGAAGGTTGGAAAGCAAATGCTTATATGACATCTTTTCCAGAGGCTAAATGGCTGAGGAGTCATTGTAGTGAAACACTTCAGAGGGTGTATTGGCAGAAGAAAACTCTCCACAGATCAGCTCTAGGCAAATGTTCTCACCGATTCATATCAATGAAAGACTTACCATTTCAGCCAGAGCAGAAATCACCTTTCCTAGCGTAGTTAGTGACTTATTGATGTTTGCTCCCTCCTGTGAGAATGAGACAATTCTAGTTTGAAATTCCAATTCTCAAGATATTTGCCCCCAAAAATGATATAACAAGCAGTACACATTCCCATTTTTTGCACAAAGAAATAATTTTATGGGCTGTACATCTGCTACTTGATCAGTTACTTTTATGTTAACATTGATGACATACATGCTCCATTCTGATAGACAGTTCTGACACTATGCATGAAGGATGCCTATACAGGCTGACATTAAACAGTCAGGAATTAGCAGCAGAATGAATAAAATAAAAATTAATATACTATTAGTAAGCATGGACTATTATCATGATGGCTAGCAGAGGAACTGGTAGATGGATAGCAAAAGTACTTGCAGATGATTATTATCGCAATATCTTTATGTATCTGCAGGCTGGCACAGAGTATTTTGCAATAGTTAGGCTTCTGCTTTAGCATCAGAGCTCTGAAAGTCCAACCCCAAAAGCAACAAAGATTATGTTCAACTTAAATTTGGTTTACTTTCTTACCTTAAGTCGTGTGCCTTTTGCTCCTGTAGAGTCAGCCCTTTCACTTCCTGCAAGATCTACCAAGCTGATTTTGCTGACCTGAAATCAGAATACAAATTTATAAACATATTAACTATGACAGCTGCCACTCCATCTGTCTGTGGCAGAAAAGATCTCCACTGTGCAGATATTATGAGATACATGAGATACATGATCTCTCAAACATAGTCTCCCCAATGGGAAAATTAAGATGTGAACTGACAGTCTGAGCATCTGCTTCACTCAGTTAAGCAAACACCTCTGGGATTATCCCAAGGTATGGTCTGAAGACACAAGACACATTCATCTTATTAAAATTAAACAGATCTGGTTTCATCAGTGCCTGAATAGTAAAAACCTAGGAACACATGAATTTGACCCAGCTCCGGGAGGCAGTGGAAGACAGGAGGGTCTGGTGTGCTCTGGTCCATGGAGTCACAAAGAGTTGGACACGACTTAACGACTAAACAACAACAACAAAAAGGAACGCATGTATACAGCCTGAAGTTCCAGTGAAGAAAGGTGGAATTTTAAATCCTATGTTGATAAATAATAAATAAATACATAATTTATATCATGATAAATTGGTAAATACCAATTCCTGTCATTATTCTTCCTATCAGAGGATAGATGTCATCACAGCTACTTTTTTTGGATGTAACAGCTATAAACAATGATGCTGTGTTGCATTCAAACCTTTCTTCAGTCACAAGTTCCTGCTATGCTCATTTTACTATTTATCTTATCTTGAATGGCAAGCTATAACAATCTGTAATTTTTTTTTTTTACTGCATGGTCTATTACTTCACCATTCTTATGGACTTGCTTTAGGACTTCCTCATAGATAGCAATGATACCATATACTGCACTGCACTCTCGTCATAAGAGCAGTGCTCATGAAACAGGATAAACTAAGAAGTGGGGGTGAGGTACAAAATATTATTCATTTTACGTGTGTGGTTGAGAAAAGCCAGTCTTCTATCCAGCTACAGTATTGTAAAATGTATCAGTCTCCTTCCTCAAAAAAGAAACTTAAGGCAATTTAAATAAAAATAAGAAACTGTAGCAGATACTTTTATGGTTGGTTCCAATGGTGGGTATAGCTCAGGAAATAATACCTCCAAAAGATCTCAGACCAGTCACAGGGGATAGATTTATGGTTATTAGACATGATGGCTCAAAAAAATTATAACTTTCTTTTCTGGACCACACTACAATTCCCTGAACCTCCCAGTCAACATGGCCTGTGGCTATTAGAAATGTAGAGTGTGCAATCCTGGGAACTGGAGCCCCAAAACATAACTTTTTTAACTTCTGGAAGGTCCTCCATGCTTAACTGCAATGTGCTAGGAGTGCAACAGAAAGAGAAGACTATGCCTCCAAGCCCTGCCTGGTTGGCAAAGCTCAGAAAACTTTTTTAAACTACAATTTCCAGAATCCCCATGCCAGCTTCACCATTAGTCATGCTGGCCTGAGGAATCTGGAAGTTGGAGTCCAAAAAGTAATATTTCCAATTTCTGCTGGTTGATCATTGCAGGAAACAATCCTGGGCTAGACTGACCTTCAGTACAACCTGCCAAGCCTCTACTTATATGTTCAATGGACAATCCTAGGAATATCTGTAATAGTTAATAATTCTGATGAAATTAGTAACTTTTGTAAGCTGCGTAAAGTTCTTCCTTCCTATATGTCTTGCACATATTACTCTTTTTTGCATCCAACTCTCTTTACTGCATGTCAAAACCAGAAAAATACAATGTGCAAATAGTAGACCATTTATGCATCTGTAAGGAGATTAAAGAATGGCAGATTTATATTCAAAGCAATACCTTAATACTACCTTCTTCTCATTTTCTGTAAAATAATGCTTTTTGTCCCTGATTCTTATGAATCAGACTATTCAGCTAACCAGCCAGATGAAGTCAGAGGCTTAGCTATGGCTAGGCAGTCATAGCAAATGAGGCAGTACCAGGCTGCACTCTATCCCTGAAGCTGCTGGCAGGAATACCAGCTGATACTAGTCTTCTCCACCCACCTTCTCTGTGGTGATGTCAGTCTCAGCATCATGTCGTTTCTGGGTGAAGATAATATTGAAGACAGCATGTGAGCGGCTACTAGTTTCATTCATATTAGTGGCAGCCACTGTCCTGTTGAACAAAAAAAGTGACAAAATATAAATTCCTACTTCTCATTTTAAAAAAAACACAACAGTGATCATTTCCTTATCACAATTTGAAACAATTTGCCTAGTGAGAAGAGTTCTGAATGATTTAGTTCAACAATCCACATGTGTTATTAGCCCCTTGTATTTTGTGTTTACCTGGCTTTGTTCCCAGAGTCCATTAGATCTTGGATGTCATTATAGGATGTGACGGCTAGTTTCGAGAGATCTTCCACATATGGCCCAAGGAGTGGGTGCTCTCTCACTCTTAAATTCCCTTTATTCTTGGGGTTGAGGAGGTCACGAACACGTTCACAGTAGATTTCCATGTAGCTCACCTGTAGAACCCGAAGTGTTGACTATGAGAATTACATGTTTTAAAAATGGCTTTGCATTATAAAAATTGCACATATAAAATGCACTGGGCCTGCAAAAGGCATTTGGGCAGCATCATAAGAGAGAGCCGTGACATTCTGCAGGCACTGACTGAAATACACTCATTCCAAACCATCTCTTCAGAACAAAGCAAACAAGAAAAAATTCCCCACTTGGTCTTAATAGAACGCCTACATCATAATATAATTGAACTGTAATTTATGGTAAAAAAAGAAAACATTTGGAAAGACCCCACTGGGAAAGTCTGCAAACAAACCAAAGGCATTTTACTATACAACTACATATTTCTAGCTATAATCACACGCATGTTTAATGAAAAATAACTGAACACATGCTAATGTGAACACATATTAAGGTTAACTGTCAAGTAAATATGCATAAGATGATCCTCTCTATCAAGATGTGAAATTTTAAATGCATGGTGTGTTGAAATAATTAAGGGTGGTGTAGAAAAAAAAAAGACGCCCTGAAAATGTACCTTGTGAGGTCTGAATGTTAACTGTCAAGTAAATATGCATAAGATGGTCCTCTCTATCAAGATGTGAAATTTTGAATGCATAGTGTGTTGAAATAATTAAGGGTGTTGCAGAAAAAAAAGAAGCCCTGAAAATGTACCCTGTGAGGTTTGAACAGCAGCTTACTAAAAAATCACTGCAAAACAATCCAGCTGAGCAAGGTCACTGTACAATAACATTGCTTCACAAAAGAATTTCATTCACGCTGATAGTTGAGCCATGGAAGTACACAAAGGAGAGAATTGAAAGTGCACTGAAATAATTGATATGCAGAGTGTAGCAATGTATTGTCATGACCAGTAGGCGGCATTTGCAGAACCTGTGATTTGCTCTACCTTATTTTACTAGATCATGTGATTTACAGTTATACCATTGAAATCCGCAGGCTCAGCAACTGTTAGTGAAAATAATAACATTTATCATCATGGTGGTAGCTTACCAGATTCTGATTTACAGGAACTGTATTATCTGAAGTAGTAAAATCAGTAAAATCAACAGAAAATTCTATTACAATTGTTTTTTCATTCTATATCTAAGATATAGAATGAAACCTTCCAAATCTGTGGCTTACAGGTTTGGAAAAATAATTTGTTTATACTGTGAAGGGAAATGTAAACCTCTAAGGGATATAAATATAAAGAGACAAGAGACATACATCACTATGCAACACAACGCAACACATCACAACACAATTTTGTGTTATCATTTTAATATGCTTAAAGACTAAAGATTAATCAAAATTATAATGCTTTTTACTTTCAAATGATGTGTTTTAGAGATGTATTCTCTGCTTTTTGATTGTGCTGGTTTAGTCCATTAGCTCTTGCATTTTTAGAATGTAAGCGAAACATTATTTTCAGTATTTTATCATACTTTCTATGCTCCTGCGTTTTGGATGGAATTCTGTCTTAGGTATTTGCCTACAACTTTAGTTTAGTCTTCATATATTTTAAGTGTTTGTGCCTAAAGTTATTCCATAGCTGTAAGACCTTTGGTTGTTCTCAACAACTCTGAAGTGCATATATTTTAAGTGTTTGTGCCTAAAGTTCTTCCATAGCTGTCTTTGGTTGTTCTCAACAACTCTGAAGTATTTTTGTGCTTATGGAACATAGAAGGACTGTATATAAATAAAGCTTGTTAGAAACAGCCAAAATGATATTCCCTGAAATCATTGCAAAATGAAGCAACTTATACCTTGATACTAAAATGAATTTTGATAAGATTGGAAATGATTGTCTTATTTCATTCTGGAATTAACCCTTTTCTGAGTAGGGCAGCTGCTCCTCATTAAATTCTTGTTTAAATTTCAAGGAAATGTAGCAATGCTGTGAAGCAAATCTGAGGCCAGTCCATCCCAAGAGTTAGTAGCATACTAATGTGAAGCAATTGAGGGGCTGTACATTGTTCAAAGGCTTTTTCCCCACAGTTATGCACTCCTTCCATGCATGTTCAATGACTTCATCACAATTCCCTCTTGCCCCTAAACAACTTCATACAGAACAGCCAAGCATCAGTTTATACCTCCACTGAGTAAGACATGTTGTCATTCGTTGTGTCATTAATACGGGAGAAGAGATCTTCACATAGCTGTGTAACATGAAAAGAGAAAGAATTACATCTATGTATGACAATAATGTCAAGTACTTTGAAACTGATCCCAGCCATCTGGCAGACACACAGATTTCTAAATGTTGGCACTTTGACATCAGCTGTAGAGAAACTAACACAGTTCTCAGTGTGTTTCCATACCTCCACTGAATGAAAGAAGATTCTAGCAGGTCCAAGGAAGGTTTTTTTTTTAAGTAAATGAATGGTCCTTAGTTCTCTCTCATTTGTCCTCTCTCAGAATTCCCCCTTTCTTATATTTAGAGCCACTGCAGTTTGGCAGGAGTTTTATGGGGCATCTTCACCAGAAAGCAAACAGATGTCTCCCCCTGTTGACTAAGGCAACTTCAGCTTCCAAAGCCTACACCCTCTTTTGCTCTCTACTAATTCTCTGCCATTGCACCAAGAACTGGCTAGGAACAGCTGCCTCAGACAGTAGTGCACTAATCATGGTTCCTTAAAACTTGTTACCTTTTTTCTTGAATAGCTTCATACCCATTATCTCAAGCAATCAGTGTTGGGACATCCTGCAGAAGGAATATCCCTCACACCATTCTTATTCATGAACTCTATGACTAGATTACTATTCTGTTAGGCAAACCAACCTGTTTCTTAGTTAGATCGCTGGCTTTGAGACAATTAGCTGTTACTTGGTAGCAAACAGAGGCCTGATTAAGTTGCTGGACCTTTGTGGATTCAAGAGCAAGTGCTGACATCACTCTCAACTACTGAGATAAAAGCCTGCTTCACCAAGGTTTCTCTTTCCCTTTTCACATACTTCTTCCATATGTTTTTCATCAGAGATGGGAGACACAGAGATAACTGCCTATAAGACCCCACCTGGCCCATTATCCTCCACAAACAGCTGCTTGTCATAACCATCGTAGTGCCAGGGTCAGAGCTGTCCAGGGTGGAGGGGAGATATTTTTCCATGGACCCTCTAGTAGGCCCAGGACACATCCTGAGCTCCAGGAGATAACAGGACTGTGGCTGCCTTTCTGTGGCTCTCTTCCAACCTGGCCTAATCAGCAGGGTTAAGAACACTTGGTCATGTCAGAAGGTGTGGCATACTCTGTGATCCCAGCAGCCATTCTTTCTTCCTCCTTCTGCTGCCTCAGATTAACCCCTGTATCTTCTTGCCTCTTTGCTTGTCCTGACCTCTGTTGGTCCTGATCATGCTCTCCCACCCTTCTCAACTGCAGCTATCTGACTTTTCATGCCAGCCAACAAACATGAACCACACTCTTTTGCTCAGTTTATGAGGGACGACTGACTGTCACAGTTTCAAGTAAGTAGCTTCTTCTGCAAGTAGCAATGACAGTAAGCAAAGGGGAGCATTGGACTGTGAGTCCCAGCAGTCTCTTACAGTTGGTTGCTTATGCACCCCCACCCCTAAACAAAAAAGAGTGATCAAAAATAGCACAGAACTGTAGACAATTTGCATAAGCTAATTTTAGATGCATATAGGGACATCATTATGGAATAATTCATATTTTTAATAGAAATACTGTACAATATATCTCACCCTAACAGGTAGGACACTGACCAGAAGATGTGCATACTTGTTGCTCAGTTTTACATCATTCTAAAAAGGGTGGCAACAACTGACAAGAGGAGCTGCTAATACTTGTTAAAAAGAAATGTTGTTGTTGCAGGAATTTAGAGCTCCCACTGCTGTTTTGGTGCAGCTTTTGTTCTGTCTCCTTATACTGACTGCTAGTCCATCTGGATTAGGAGTGACAGGTATGGGTGATGTTGTTCTGAATATCTCATCCATGACTGACTGGTGCTGTGATTCAGCACTCTAGGATCATACGGAAGGACCATAAGAGAGCCAGAGAGAAAAGGAATGCAAAAGAGTAGTTCCACAGGATCCTTTAGTGTCACAGAATATACTAATGTGCAGTGCCTGGACCTGCATACAGCTGTGCATGATGGGAAAGCAGTGCATACTAGCAGCCGAGGGCACTGTACATTTTGTTCTTATTTTCAGACAGCCATGCTTGCGGACCTGGACCTGGATTCAGTCCTCATGAATTGATAAGGAGGCAGTTAATAGAATAGGAATAGTGAACATTTCCAACTGTTCACGAGAACACTCTACATTCCACCCTTGCTGTATGGAGGTATTTTGATCACTTTGGATAAATGGTTCCTGACTTTCTATCTACAGTTCTCCAAGCTAAGATTTTCAGGCTTTCATAAGAAGTGCTATATCACTCCTTTCTGTTAAGATGTCATACCAAGCTAAGATTTTCAGGCTTTCATAAGATGTCAAGGACTTTCATGTTCTTTGTAGTCACTCATTGACTTTACACATTTGCAAATACAGTATCACCCTCAACCCCACCTCAGACGTGCATTAATTGGACCAGTTTGTTTCCTTCCAGTTGAAAACCTTTGACATGATTACCTGGGGGATGATGCCTTGCTGGTCCTTCTCTTGTCTACCCATCATGGTATATGACTTGCCAGCCCCAGTTTGGCCATAGGCAAAAATGCAAACGTTATAACCTTCAAAGGCATGCTGCAGCATCTCCTCTCCGATGTCCCGGTACACCTGCTTTTGAGAGGCATAATTGATGTCTTCAGGCTGTGATGATAAAGAAGGCATGAGTCGGGAAGAGAAAAAGTGGGAAAAAGTCAGAATAAAAGAGGGGTAACAAGAACCACCTTCTTTTTTCGTAGTCATGTGCTTTAACAACAACTATTCTAAAAACTATGAAAGAATTTGCTGATGACTCCCAATACTGTGGAGGGGGTGTGTGAATGATCAAGATGATGAACCTACTTTGTAGACAGAATCTTAGATCTCCAACAGCTTCCATAAAGTTTGAACTAAAACTGGAGCTGATTAATTTTGATTTGAGATGCTAAAATAGGTTTTAAATGTGCTATTTCTATTTAAAGGCAGGTTCATTATTTTAGCTAGCAACAGGGTTTACTAAATTTTATTGTATTTTTATTGTGTTTAGTGCATTTTTATTATTTATTTATTTATTCCACTTGTATACCACTCCATTGAGCAAAACATTATTATTGTGTGATTTTATTGTATATTGTGAACTGTGCAGAGAGTGATAATTAGAGATGGAAGTATTTGTATACGAATACCCGTGCACAGCTGGACTTCACGAGGGTCCAGCCCCTGGGGCCGGAGAATTCACTCATGAATCTAGTGGTGGTAGCAGCCTCAGTCAGCTTTCCAAGTGCTCCCGGAGTGCCACTCTCTTTCTGCTCATCTAACCACTAGGCAGCTTTACAAGGAGACTCGTCCTCCCTCCCCCTGCCTGGAGTTGGCTAGATGAGCAGAAAGAGAGCAGCGCTCCATGAGCGATTGGAAGGCTGACCGAGGCTGGTGCCACCACTGAACACATGAGTGGACGGTCCGGCCCCAGGGGCCGGCCCCTCATTAAGTCCAGCTGTGTGTGGGTATTCATATACTATTACAAATACCCCCATCTCTAGTGATAATACTAATATGGTGGTGTAGAACTGGAATTTTGCCTCCACAAAATTAGAACCACTAACCTCCATTGAGAACTATCACAACTTCATAAATTTCCTCTGGGTTCTTATCTCTGAAGAATTCCCATAGAGAAATGGGAACTGAATATGGGTCCATGCTTATATTTCCACTACTCTGGAGTGACTTCCCCTCAGGCAAAGCACTGTCCCTCTTCATGCTGTGCCTTTGTACTGCTGATATGAAACTTTGGCTTCCTCCATCATAACAGGCTTGTCAGAGGCAATGTTTAAGTGTAACGACCAAATGCTGAAGCACCTTTTCATGGACTTCAAGGATCTTCCCAGATTACAGGAGGAAAGTGATATGAGTAGAGTTCAATTGAAAGGGTCTCGGTGTTCTAAAGATTTAGCTAATTCCACTGTTCTATCTGATGTTCGAGGAATTCATGCTTGCAACCCCCAGGATATGGTATGGCATAGGTTACTACTAGATCTCAGGGACTTCCATTTCAAAACTATTCACAGGGGGAGGGTTTGCAGTAATTGTGAATATACTTGGAGCCACATGGTACACATAAATGCTTTATTGCACAAAATAGCCTCCAAGCCAGAGTGCAGAACATTTGGCACTCCAGATGTTTTGGACTAAAAGTACAGTATTTTATTACTGACAAAACAAGCTGGGAATGCTGGGAGTTATAGTACAAAACATCTGCAGAGCCAAAGATTCATTCCCCTCTAATCCAAGCAGATCCACTCTAAGTGACCAATCTGCACAGTTTGAATGCATGCGTCAGAGAATAGGCTGTACAATGGAATAATAAATAATTAGCCCCTGGAAGCTCTTCACCAAAGAATAAAATACAGTGGGGTCTCTACTTAAGAACGTCTCTACTTAAGAAAAATTCAACTTAAGAACAGCTCCATTTGCTAAATTTTGCTTCTACTTGAGAACAGAAATCCAAGATAAGAACAGGAAAAAAAACCTTTCCTGCTCTTTTTTTAACCTTAGGTCATCTTAGGTTAAAAAAAAAATTCTCCCCCTAGTGGTAGAGTACGTATAAAGTACAGTATTTTATTACTGACAAAACAAGCTGGGAATGCTGGGAGTTATAGTACAAAACATCTGCAGAGCCAAAGATTCATTCCCCTCTAATCCAAGCAGATGCATTGTAAGTGACCAATCTGCACAGTTCGAATGCATGCGTCAGAGAACAGGCTGTACAATGGAATAATAAATAATTAGGCCCTGGGAACTCTTCACCAAAGAATAAAATATTCCTCTCAATCTTATACATCAAAATATAGTGACATAGGTAAACATTAAACTAAATGCATAAAATATAGTGAAGATGCAGATGAAAAGAGTTGTCTATGGACCATCCATTCCTTCATCTGTAGCAACCTCACCACCTGGCTTCAGAAAGGTATGGCTGCATTCATCATTAATACAAAACAAGTTCTCAAAAAATGGGTATTGGTGTCTGGGCATTCAAATTAGGTATGGTGCTAATAGGGAATGTTTCAGCCTTGATCTTCATTTATGGAGGAGATGTTTGATCTGTCTTCACTCACAACACAGTGAGCCCTAGACTGATCCTTTTTCCTGGCTCACCTAGCATGCGAATTTTATCTCTTTGGCTGGCATCTTCAGAGGGCAGGAGCTAGAACTCTGTGTTCTGGTGTAGTGTGTCGGATTGTTGAGTACTGTAGATGTGGGACCAGTTTGTTTTTTCAGGAGATTGGGTGTTTTCTGTGATAAGGGGGGGGGAGATTATCTGTCACTGATACTGTGATAAGGGGGGAGATTATCTGTCACTGATATTGATAGGTGTCATTAGCTAGTCTTTTGTGTGCAGTGATCACCGGTCCTTATGGCTGGGTAGAGTTCACTGACCTTTTTGCAGGCTGTATTTCTCAGTGCTGGGAGCCAGGTTTTGTTGAAACATTAGGAAGAAAAACCTCCAGAACACAGCCAAACAGCCCAAAAACCCACAACAACCATCGGATCCTGGCCGTGAAAGCCTTCAAGAACACATTGACTAGCAACAAAAGTGGACTTGTCCATGAAAGCCCACATTAGAATAAAGCAGTTAATCATTAAGTTGCCACAATGTTTTTATCTTCTTCATTTTTTAAATTTTTGTTTTGTTTTTGTCTGACAGGATTGGAAGACATATTCCAACCAACATCACTGGAGAAATCTGAAACCTACACTTCTTTACTTGATTCTGCAGGCCCGACTCTGAAATTTCCTTTTAACAAAGGAATCTAGCATGCCATGATTTTTGAACATTTATGTTTTTTTCTGCACCATTCATAGCTCTGTGAGCACTAGTCTGATGAAGACCTGTACGGGGTCAAAAGCTGGCCAATAGTAGTGATTTTTATGTTAGTTTTCAAACATGTCTTCTCCATTTTGGCTTTATTTTTGTAATATAAGCCATGACGTGGTGTAATACGTCATGTGTTGGTTATCTGAGGTTGTATTTACCTAATTTTCAGATCTGCTAAGGATTAGATGATTTTTTTATTATGTCCTGATACATAAAACCATAGAATTCAAAGAGGATGTATTGTACTTCCTTTTCCACACGACTGTAGCAGAGCAGCTGAGTCACAGTTTCCCTGCTACTTCTCCATGAAGTGCCAGTGATTATTCCACACAATTATTTCCTGTTTTGCAATAATTGCCTTGAATTCATTTTAGCCAGATATTCATTCAGGAACTTCATACGACAGATTGTAAAACCAGAGCTAGTCCATTTAAAATTATGCCAAAGCAAGTACATTTTCCCATTTATGCCTACTTACCGTTGTGTGAGACCAATAGGAATAGTCAAAGCTGAAACTTTTGGGTGTCTCTTTGGGCTGCTTTGGATTTATGATCGCTAAGAAGAAAACAGAGGAAAACCATGGAAAGATATCAAATCTCAGCACTCAAAATGTTTATGTACATACAGATTGTCTCCTTGAAGCATCTACAGTAGGTAAGTGATATAATGGTCTGAAACATACATTTTACCTCCCCTTGCTACTCACACTCTATGTGTCACTAGGATTGCATCACTCAGGTTGACCAGGGAGCATCATACAAAGCCATTCTGAACACATGAACAGGCTGACCGCTTTACATGCTCAGCAGAACAGAGCCAAGTATTTGCCTTACAAATGCCCTGACAGAGTGAGATGTCTCATCCACAGTGCAGTGGGAAAGCTGGGGAACTGAAGCATGCTCCCTGATTTAAAAAAAAATACTGTACACTAAAACTTTTCCATGATTTTCCCCCTAAATAGATGACTGAAACCATTAAACCTAAATATCCTGTAAAGTTGCTATATGTTCCCACGTGGATGATTCCTAATGACTGTCTGGAAACTTCTACAGTACTTCAGTACACAAATGGCTGCCAGTGTTGGGTCACACCTATCTTTGAGCATAAATACAAAGCATAAATATATTTTCATTTACTTATACAGACCCCATCTTGTCTATCACAATGAATTAGTGATTCAGAAAGACAGAGAGGGAGAGAGACTAACAGTGGAGCTGAACAATTGCACAGGATCCTCTATTTATAAACTTGTTAATGTAAACTTTTTCCTTAAAACCCTGACAATTCTTGTAAGCAAAAATTAAAATGTGCACTTGGAGACTTCAGTAGCTATAGTAGTGTCAGGGAGTATATATTTGATGTCCTAAAATGGGTAGAAACCTTCCAACCAGCCCTTTTTCATTACAGCAAACTACCCCATCAGTCAATAGCAAAAAAATGTCAACGTGGTTATAGCCTCAACCTGATATTTACCAGTGAGTTTATAACTCAATAGTATGTGAAGTCAGTCTGTTCTGATAATGACCCATAACGTGCCAACTCATGGTAGCAGTCTGACCATCAACAGTATCATTATGAAGGAGATATAATTTAAAAACAACCAACCAACTGTTCACCACAGCATTGGATGGAATTGTACTAAACATTTGCCCAGTCTCAGAAGCCAGTGAACAATTCAATGAGGCAGTGGAAAGATGATCCTGACTGTTCATACCCCAAGGATGCAGGCCCAGTTACCTCCATTGGAAATAGTCACCCAAATGAGTAAGTATTTTTCACAGCAAAGTATTTTTGAGCAAAAAAATAAAAGCATTTTGGCTGGACAATGATGAATTTCTTTAGTCTCAGGAACTAAAAGAGATAATTGGATGAAACTCAAGGAAGAAATAAACATGTCAAAAGGCCTGGACATTATTAAAACAGCTTAACAACCCAATTAAAGACCATGCCCATGCAAACATTTCAGAAAATCAAATAGTTTGTCAGCTCCTCAGATCTGAACATTACCACAAGAAATCAGCAACTGGAGACCAAGAACCTTACAAGACCATTCAGGTATGAGAATCGGAAGGAAACTGAATATAGCTGCAAAAATGGCAAGGCAGCAGCCCAGGATGACATACACATGGAACAAACAAAAAAACATGTTGGCACAGTAACGAAAAATGGCTTCTTGATTTGTGTAATATCTTGACTCCCTCATGATCCTGAAGGTTTGGAGAAAGTCATGAGTGATTGTTACCTAGAAATCTGGTAAAGAGCCAACAAATCCTCAAAAAATCAGGCCAATCTCACTGCTTTCAACTTAATGAAGCCCTGGAAAGAATGGTTCCTGACTGTCTAATGGAAGTGGTGGAACTACTCCCACATCCTGCAACAGAATGGTTTTAGACCTTGGAAGAACTGTGCAACACAAAACCTACATTTAATGCAACATACTGAAGACAGCTTTGAAACTAGGAAAATCACAGGGCTAACTTCTGTTGACTTGCCTTAGAGTGTTAATCCTATAGTATTACAGCAAGAATTCTATAATGTAACCAAGAATTACAAACTAACTAAAGTAATCACAATCCTTTGCTAAATCACAGAGTTTTTGTTAATTTTAAAGAGCAATGCAGCCAATGAAGGAGTAAAAAAAAAGGTCTACTCCAGAGCAGTGTACTGGCTTCTATTTCATTTAACAACAACTAATCACCTCAAGGCACCAAAAGTCTGATTTATGCTGACAATCTTGCACTTGCTACTCAGTCAGACGTTTTCAGAACATCTCTGTAGAACATCTCGTAAGAACTTGCTGCTGATTATAATAGAAGCCAACTTAAATCCAACTCATATATGTTCCTTTCATCTGAGCAATAAGCAGGCATCTTGGACACTTTAGGTTACCTGGAGGACTGTCCAACTAGGCCACTGTTTTGCTCGCAAACACCTAGGTGTTACTTTGGATCATCATAACAGATAAATATCACGTCATTAGCAAGCATTGTACCAGCGCCATCTGGAAAGAGGTAGCAACTAACGGCAAAAGACTGAAAGCATCTAAATCAAATGTACATTTGCTCTTCAGATGCCACCCCACCCCTCTCAGAAAATCTGTGAATCATCAAGAAGCAAACAGAGAATACCAGGCTAGTAATGTTTGGAAAAACTACCCACACTTGAAATCGATGGAACGCCAAGAAAATGTATATTCCAGTCACACAGAGAACTGGGTTACTTGGAAGTCACTAAATATGCAATGAAATGTAGCTGGCAGAATCAAAGTGAACCTAAGGAAATGGGGCTTTTTCCTTCACACAGTCCTTTGCAAGAGCTGAGAAGAACAAGCAACTTCACACCTACAGTATGTCAGTGTACCCTATGCCCCTCAACATGAACTACAGAAGACTTGATGCTCTTGATGTTGCCTGTTACTGTGTGAAAATCATCTGATATATTTCTTTCTTGAACGGTGGTGCTTCTGACATGAACAAAAAAAGGAACTAATGTACCAGTCTGTTCGCTGTGGTTTTGTTCAGTTTCTTATTCTTCCAAACAAGTTCATTTTCCCATCTGTTTGAGATGTTTTAAAATGAAGCCTACAGAATACCAACATCAAGATCACCCATATTCCTGCTGATGCCAGTGTCATCCATACTACAAAACCCCTCATTACTATGTACAGACTTGAAAGCAGGACAAAGTGGAAAGCTGACTAGGGGGAAAAGTCCAACTCATTTGAACTCTGTATTGGAGGATAGCCAGAAATACAACAAATGAGTTGTAGATCAAATCAAGCTTGAATTCTCATTAGAACTAAAATTACTAAAGAGGGGCTATTTGTATGTTAGACATTTAATGAGAAAAGACTCACTAGAAAAGACAACAATACTGTACTAGAAAAAGTTGAAGGCAGCAGGAAGACAACATGAGATGGACTGACTCAATAAACTAAGTCATGGCCTCCACCATGGTTATTAATGACAGTACTTTTTGGAGATCATTAAATCACAGGATTACCATAAGTTGAAAATGATTTGACTGTCACAAAACCAAACCAATTTTTAAAGAAAAAATATTAAAATGAACACACATTATACATTTCTTCAAATAGATACATGTGTGTGTGCATGTTCATAATATAAGCACTTTTGTGAGCAATTTTCCTTAATAAATCTATTTTTATATCTTATTTTCACTAATATAGGTAATTTTGTTCACATTTCCCCCTAAACTACCCTATTTTACACAGAGATTTTTTTTCCTGGAAAACTGCACTGCAGAATTTTGACAATTAAATATTGGTTCAGATAGTGAAAATCTAGTAAAATCATACTAAAATGAGAATCAAACCAATCTCTCCCACACATCCCTGTAGGTCTTCAGTGCTTCTGATGGAGGAACACATGTTCAGTTTCAGGAAAATGCAACCTGGCAGATACAAATATGAGCAAACTCTTGACATACATTAACTTATGAACAAAAGAAAAGAGCTTGTCTGTAATTAGGAGACTGAACAGAAAGAACTGTGAAAACATAAAATCTGTTCTTATTGGAATTGGGAAATTAATGGAGGGAGTTAAAATGGGAAAGGATTGTTTGTATAAGAGAGGAAAATGTATATGATCTGGCTGTAATTTGCTTCTAATAGGCGTGTGCAGTGCTTAACATAAAAAAAGAGAATGCTGGGGCTTTAAATTGAGTGGGAGGTACATGTATATCTCCAAATGTGTACAGAGAGTGGTAGGTTGTGATTGTTCAGTGATGAGAGAAAAACACTTGGTGTACTTTCAAAGATATTCTTTCTTTACTATATTTTTGCTATATATTTATATTTACTATATATCTATATTTGTGAAATATAAATGAATTCTACATTTATAAACATATTAGTACATGCATCTATTATGCAAATTTGTACCATAGGCTTATACCTTGGATATTTATATTCACTATTTATTTACTTTACTTATGTCCTGCTTTTCTTCTAAAAACAGAAATCCATCTGGCTTACATTAAAATTAAATGAAATGACTAACTTTCCAACATAAACTGAATACAAAAATTATTCAAAATTACAGTGTAGGTCAGAATCTTATTGGTGTTCATGGAAGGTCTAACTTGCTGCAGCTAATTTTGGCTAACTGACAAAGTGCTGAGACACATCACAATAGCACACATTGTTTGCCCAACAGCACAACCAAGATCCCCCTGACACAATCAGACCCTTCACCTGGCATGTGACCAAGATGCACACTAGCCCCTTGTCAATTAGCCACAATTATAGTATAACAAACACAAATAGGATTATGGCCACCATTTAAAATAAACTAATAAAAATTACCACAGCGCCCAGTTAAAGCCATCTCTGTGGCAAGCAAGGTCCATTCCGGAAGGCTTGCTGAATGGGTCTTTGCCATTGGAAAAGTCAACAGGGAGGAAATCAGTCTAGTCTGTCTTGTCTTGGTAATGAGTTCCAAGAGCATTTATGCAGAAAGCTCTTGGCAGTTAGTTTTAAATAACTAGTAACATCCCCAATTCGTGAAATTCAATGCAACAGTGGAAAGAAGGAG